CAGAGAAATTGAGCCTTCGAGGGCCATTTCTTTACATTTTTAACCCCCCCCTCTTATGATGAGCATTATGAAATTCGTATAATTTTGAAAGGCTAGCATTTCTCCTCTGGTAGAGCTTATCTCAGAGCCAAAGTGATTTTTTTTTTTTTTTTTGCTTCCCTGTTTTGATTTAAATGATCTGTACATTGTACTTTTTAAAATATAGAAACTTTTTTGTTTATATCTCTTCCTTGTCTCATTAAATTGTTATTAATTTTGAGGTTCATGTAAATTTTTCCCCAGCAATTAATTTCGATTCACATTCTTTTTGGGGGGGCACCCTTCCCAGTTACACAGTGGCACTTATTTTATCATACTGCTTTTATGTAACATACTTTTTCTTTATAAACAGGGAGTGGAGTGCTTTCTTGCTCACTTTTCCTTTTAAAAAAACAAACACCGATGCCCTCATAGAAGACACTGTGTTTTGGTCACATACGAGTTTTGGTTAAGAGTTATATTTTCAGGAGTGCCTGTCTTGGTGGCTCAGTCGGTTAAGCGTCTGCCTTCGGTCGGGTCATGATCCCAGGGCCCTGGGATCGAGCCCCGCATCGGGCTCCCTGCTTCGTGAGAAGCCTGCTTCCTCTCCCACGCCCCCTGCTTGTGTTCCCTCTCTTGCTGTGTCTCTCTCTGTCAAATAAGTAAATAAAATCTTTAAAAAAAAAAGTTATATTTTCAAATTAAAATGAGAAACTGTAAGGCTGGGTAGGAGACATTCAGCCATATTTACTAATTAATCACAACTGAGGTTTGATCCAGATGTAGGAGAAATTGAAATTTTCCCTGTGTGGTTGGAGGATTTCGGAGGCATAAAGTTACATTAATTTGTGAAAGCAAGCTTACAAAGTTTCTGTAGTCTCTGGCCTTTATTAGGTCATCGTGCTGACCTAATAAAGTGTGCCAGGCATATAGTGGGCACTCCAAAAATGGGATTCTGTTCCTTCAGGAGTCTTTAAGCACCTAGATATCCGTGGCACCATGCCAGTAGAATTATACACAGTCCACAGAGACAGAGCTCCCTCAAGATGATTTAAAAATCTGTACTGGAAGTTTTTTTCCCCTCAGCGTACTAAGATTTCTCAGTCAATTCTTGAAGAATTTTACGTGTAGCTAGTTACATGTAGGCGAAAGAGACAGTGATGTTTGTGTTCCCCCCCGTGTGGGAAGGAGATGGCCCCGGCGACATGAGATGGGTTCTCGTGTTCTTACTTTTGGAGTATGTTTGAGCTTCAGCAGCCCTCCTTCCCCCCACACCCTTCCTCTTCCCCACTTCCAGTGTCACACATGCAAATCAGTAAAAGAATTAGGATAACCTGTGGAACAGTTTTTCCTAAATAGGGAGATGGTTCCATGGAATATTAATGTTTAGGGTGGTCTTATTTTAAAAGCTTATCCAGCTTAATGTGCTAATCAGAAACCTAGGATCCTAGTGATAAATGGAATTTTAGAATCTATTCCATTTTTTACCAAGTTCAGAAGTGTCTGTGGGGTACCTCAGTTGGTGAAACTAGCGACTCTTGATCTTGGGATTGTAGGTTTGAGCCCCACGTTGGGTATAGAGATTGCTTATAAATCTTTTTCTTATTTTTAAGATTTTATTTATTTATTTTAGAGAGAACACAGGTAGGGGAAGGAGCAGAGGGAGAGCGTGAAGCCGTGCTGAGCACAGAGCCCGACATGGGGCTTGATCCCATGACCCTGACTGAGATCATGACCTGGGCCGAAATCAAGAGTCAGACACTTAACGGACTGAGCCACCCAGGCGCCCCTAAAATCTTAAGAAAAAAAAGAGAAATGTCTTATTAGACCTTTGTTTGCCTCATGGTCATTTAGTTTCTTTATTTACACTTGTAGTGATGGGGCCCTCACTTCCCTTCAAGGCAACCCATTCCATTCCCTGCAGCTGTGGTCATTGGAAAGCTCTCCTTCTGGTCATCTGAAGCCTGCCTGTGGTGGAACAGTGTGGAACTTAAACATTATCCACCACAAAACTACTTTATTTTTTTTATATTTTTTAAAAAAGATTTTATTTACTTATTTGACAGAGACACAGCGAGAGAGGGAACACAAGCAGGGGGAGTGGGAGAGGGAGAAGCAGGCTTCCCGCTGAGCAGGGAGCCTGATGCGGGGCTCGATCCCAGGACCCGGGATCATGACCTGAGCTGAAGGCAGACGCTCAACGACTGAGCCACCCAGGCGCCCCCACGAAACTACTTTAAATGAGTATTTCTTTTCATTAGACTGAAATTACCCAGGACAAGGATCACTTTTGACTGATGAACCTTCTTTCCTTCTAGTGTGTTTAACTAGGCACTCAATAATGTTTAGAGAATAAATTGTCACTCAGTTTCTTGTGATTTGAAGATTAACTGGAAGTTGGGCTACATATTTTTTGCCTGTATTTGAATTAGAAATGGTGTAAATGGGCCTTTGTGGAGTAGATACAGTCACGTTTAGGGGTTTTTCCCTTTGGTTAAAATGGAAGTATTCCCCAGTGGTTTTGGACCACAAATATGCTTTGATCATTCATAGCAGACGATCCCGTTAGTTAAGAAGAAATCTGTTTTCCTTTTAATTTGTGGTCCTCATCCTTCTGAAAGAGCAGCACAAGCTGTGGACTTTCTGGACTGATCATTTTAGCTATTGTCTTCAAGAAGCTGAAGGGGATAGCCTTAGGAAAAAACCCTGGGAAGCTTTAAGAAAAAAATCAGAAGATGATGATCCTAAGGTACCCAGCAGTGTACCCAGGAAGACTTGACCCCACTGGGAGTGTACGGATTCGTGTGCGGAACTCCCTGGAGTTTTAAGATCCAGTTTAGTGTTTTTTCTGTTTTTGTTTTGTTTTTGCAGCATTGCAGAGTACACAAGCCGAACACCGCTCCAAATCATTCCTTACCAAATGGCCCAGGTTTTGACATTAAGGGCCGGAAAAGGATCCTGGTTGCTAACCCCCAATTTGTGCCTGAGGACACTGAGGCTGGAGAGCACCAGTCCCTTTCTGAAGGAACACAGCTGCCCTCAGGCAGAGCCTGAGTCTAGAACTCAAGTTTTTTGACTCTTAGTCTAAAAATAAAACATTAGAAGAGACAGAGAGACTGTTGATTGCTTACTTGGCCACGTTTTAAATATTATAGCCAAGTGGGGGTTGGGAATTAGGCTTTTTTTTTTTTTTCCTTCCTCAAGATCATTTTTGGTTTCCTTGTGCTTCCAGCTTCCTGCGACTCCTGTAACTGCTTTAAACCAGGATCCTTCAGGACTGTGTTCCTGCGGGGCTGCCCTGCATGCCTGTCCCCCAGCCCTGCCGGGTGCCCCTCTTGCTCCCAGGCACTTGGCAGCCATTGCTCTTAGCTCCCTTCTCCTGGCCTCCTGCTCCGCCACCCTTGTCCAAGGAGACCCCGTGAGATCCATGCTCACGCGGCCTCCGGGGTCACCAGCATTCAGCGGAAGTTTAGCAGATTTCCTCCCATTTCCCCCTCACTTTCCTTCCTAAAGGTAGCTCCTCACAGCTGCACCTGCTATCTTCAGTTTCTTCTGTCCTCCGGTAATAATCGACTGCATTCAACTCAGTAGCCAGCCTAGTGGGTTTTTCCTTTCATCCTGTTCATTGATTCCCTGGCCTCTCAGGCCTCAGCCCTGGCAGGCATCCTCCCTCCCTCCCTCCTCCTTCCCACTGCTGGTCGAGCTCTGTGGGCCCAGCCATTGTGTGTGTGTGCACACGTGTGTGTGCACACGTGTGTGTGCTACCTGTGGAGCCCGTTCCTTTCCTGTGCCACCCCCCAGACCTTTGTCCCCTTCTGCAGTTGCAGTAATTTATGGACTGCTCTCTCTGCATCCAGTCTTGTCGCTCGGCCAGTCCATTGTTGACACAGTTGCCAGACGAATCTTCTTCAGATGCTGCATTTTTGAAGTCAGTCTTTCCCTGTTCCCTCTCAGAAGCATTGAAGTAGCTCCTTGTTCCCCTAGGAAAGTCCAAACTTCTTAGCTCCTCATTCGGAACCCGCTGTGGCCAGGGGCCCGCGTTCCTCGGTGGCTTCTCCCGCACCTCCATCGTTCGCAGCCCGTGGAGTTTGTTTAGTGCTTCCCGGGGCAGCCTCCTTCCTCCTGGGCTCTGGAAATCTTTAGCTGCTACATGGAGCCTTGTCTGCTGGCCATTCTTTTCAGGTCTCTGCTGACGGTCCCTGGCTCACTTGTTCATCTGACGTTTGATTCACTAAGCAAACATCACAAAAGACATGCTGTTTTGTTTTTTAAAGATTTT